TTTCCCCAGCTGCCTGTGTCCACACCTGGCCCCTGTGATCTAGACCCCTCCTCTCCCAAGTGAGTCCCAGGGAAGCATCTTCCTCGTGGGATGGTAGTTTGTGGTGTTTGTTCATAGATTGACCCTGGTTGGTATTAAAATAACCTGGGCGCTTTTAAAACCAAACCCATGCCTCTGGTCCCCGCCACCCTGGATTCTGTTTTAATTGGTCCAGGGAGAGGCCTGGGCATCAGGATCTTTTTCAAAGCTCCCTACATGATTCCAATGTGCTGCTATTTGAGAGCTGCTGGTTTAATTGATTAAGATCTTTGAAAAGTCCTTGTCCTAAACCAGTGGCTCTGAACGCAGGGGACATCTGGCAGTGTCTTGAAGACATTTCTGGTTATCACAACTGGTAGTGTTGGGGCGTGGGGGGTTGCTGCTGGCAGAAGCCAGGAAAGCTGTGACACTTGCAGGACAGCTCCTACCGCAGAGGACTATCCAGCCATAGTGCTCAGGTGAAAACCCTGTCCTAACCTAAAACAAACACGAAGGCTGGGAAAAACCAAGATAGGTAATTTGGGTTATTTGCTCCAGCAGCTTAGGCCCATTCATTTAGAAAGAGCCAAGAATGCCAAAGGCAGTTTTAATTATTTTATTCTGCCTGTCTTTCCCTGGAAATGGGCTGCTATCACCGCTTGTGTTTTTCTCACTCTGTAGGCTCACGCAGACCTATGTCACGATCTTCATTCCAGTGCTTCCTGTAAGTCGTCAGGGGTTAAGAGGTCCCCTTCCCGGGTCTGTTGGTGACAGGCAGCTGCGGTATCTGTGAGCCCAGTGTATTGGTTCTGTCTCAGATGACCTTCCACGTGACACTGGCTCCTTCAAGGAAGCGTGGTTTTAGTTATGCTCATTAAGGACGCAACAAACATTTGCCTCCAGGAGGCCACTGTCTTGAATTCCTGTAGGGGAGGGACTTCCAGGATCCTCTGCCGAGAGTTCAGATGTGTGCGTGGGGGGCTAAAGTCGTAACCATCTCAGAATCCCTGAGGGCATCACTTTGGACCTTAGACTTTGTCCTTTGCTGGGGGTGGTCTCACAGAACGCTAAGTGTGTGTTAATGTTTGACACAGGAGCACGTGGTCAGTGAACAGTCCAAGCCAGGTGTTAGTCAGCTGGAGAGTGTCGCTGAACTAGTCTGCTGGGGCTGTCACAACACGATACCACAGGCTGGGGGCTTAAACCACAGACATTTATTTTCTCACAGTTCTGGAAGCTGGAAGTCCAAGGTCAAAGTGTCCTCAGGGCTGGTCTCCTCTGAGCCTCCCTGTGCTGCCTCTTCACACGGGCGTCCATCTGTGTGATCACACTCCTGCTGTCCCTAACCTTCTTATAAGAGCACCGGTCCTATTGGGTTAGGTCCCCCAACAGGACCATAGCCTAGTCTACATGGAGGCACCTGCTTAGAGCTTGTCCAGAGGCTTCCTTCACGTCCCAGCGCCCCCAGCAGAGTCCTGGCCGTGCACCCAAGGAAACTGCACGTCCTTTTGCCAGATGGGTTGTTTGGATCACGCTCATCTGTAAAGGAGATGTACGAAACACCTCGGCCAGAAACAGCCCGGCCCCGCCCTGTCCTCAGATGGCAGCCTCGGTGCGGCACTTGGCAGCAGAGGGCAGCCAGGCCATGGTCATGGCACAGACCAGCCGTGGCCAGCAGCTGCTGCCGTGTGGCCAGGCCGAGACGTTAACCCTTGTCTCTGGCTCTCTTGTAGGCAACCTTTCTGTATACGTTGCAAGTTAAATACCTGCTCAACCAGGTAATGCGGACTGGCCTTTTCTTTGGGGAGGCTAATGGGAGTTCGTGCCTTTCTGGAAATGGGCCCCTGAGAATTCTCAGGGCTCAGGGAGACCAGGGTGGAGGGAGCTTCCCCCCCGGCAACCACAGGAAGCCGTTTTTTGGTGTTGTGCACACAAGACTTTGACGTTCAGGAGTTTGTTAAGTGATATCAAGGAGAGAATACATTAGTTTTGGCTCTGGAACATTCCTATCCAGTTCCCACTTGGAAATATTGTCACTGGCAGGGCGGGATTCAAGCTGCTGTGTTCTTTGGCTCTGTGCTTAGCCCAGCTCCCTGGAGCCAGGGTGCACGCCTTGGCTCCCCTGGGAGGGCGCCAGGGAGCCGGCCACCTGCTCAGCTGTGTCTGCGGGGCCACTTCCCTCGGTGGGGACGCGAGCGCTTGCTGGCATGGCGAGGCACCTCACGTCAGCCAGACTCTTCACCGTGGTGACGGAGACAGAGGCCCCCAGGGCGGTTGCCCTGACGGGTAGGTGTGGATGCACGATGCAGGCTATGTG